CAACAATTTATTGCTTTTATTTTTATGAATTCGCTCTCTGTACACTGCCATATATTACAGGTCATGTATGCTGAAGTGGATGTATACAATATTAATCGAATTTTTGTGAAGAAAAAATAATGCGGCGCATATACACATCTGCATGTGATAGAATAAACCGCTCGAAATGTGTAATTATTCACCAAGATTTCATCAACTTTGTTTTGAAAGCGCATTCTCCAGACTCATTAAGACAGACATATACTTGTACATTTGTTCTCGATGAGGGTGTCGATTTTGATGACTACATTTTTGCAGAGTTGCAATACAGCTCCAACCAATTTTAGCGATCAAACTAGGCCGACCAAGAGAGAGGAAAAGAGAAAGAGACAGAGAGAGAGAGAGAGAGAGAGAGAGATGATGTGGCGGTCGACGGCAACAAACTTTCAAATTTAGTGGAGAGATTAGAAAAAATAGGCATAATGAACGTTGAACGTGCTGATATATTTGTGTCGCCGACATTGACTTACTAATTTCATTCTTTTTATCATCTTGATTGAGGTAAATGCGCAATTTTTTCATGATATTTCTCGTCGGGCTAATCATTGGCTTGACACACTCTATTTCTTCCTTTTCCCCCTCCCCCCCCCCCCCCATCGTCGCAATATGAACGCACGCCATGCGAAAAAAATCAGCATAACCTCCGTAGCTGATAAGTGCGTTCGATTTCAAAATGCTTTCTCTAGGAAGTTAATATTTATAATCAACAGTTTGTGGGAGCGATAAGATCGGTCGCTATTCTTTCCGTCTGAAAAGTTTACAATTCACGCAATGTCCATGAGAGTCGCAAAAGTAATACTCTCTGTGATGTTTGTCAATACTCGCTGTATTATCAAATACCCGGTGGTACGTAAAATGACAACAAATGCATCGAAAGAATTAATAGCGTAGATCATACATAGTTCGTATAAACTATGTGTACTTGTGTATATTAACTTTGTTTTTCTAGACTCCAGCAATTTGCACTGATAACAACAGATTAACAGGACAAGAACCGTGTTCTGCGATCACAATGTTTTTTTTGCGACATTCGCTTTTTTAAATCACTCTTATTGCATCGAAAAACATTTGTTTATAGACGAAGTCAACTCAGCCAGAAAGATAACGGTTAGCACTTTAACACTATCGCTATATTACATAGTTAGTATAGCAATATATTTTGAAAATTGAACAGCTTTAATTCCCTGACGCTTATCTAAGTAGGCTGTTTTTCGTTGCGAGTTCCATGATAACTTATGTAATATTATAGTTAAGATAATTTCGAAAAAAAAAACTTGAGCGATTATGAAAATTTGAAAAACGTGTGAGTGAATAATAACAAGCGAAAAAGGAGATTAGAGTATGGTGTGGGCTTTGTTCACATTACTGTATAAAAGTAGTTAATAATGAAAAATTATTCATTGCCCTTAGAATCGAACAAAAAACTTTGAATGGAAAACAATGGTTCAATTGAACATATTCGAATGAAATGATTCAAACAGACGAACTGATTACATGACTCATTTTATTAATTTTACGAGCACATTCATTCGATATAAATCAAGAAGGAAGCATTACTATAATTGAAACGCCTAATGATCCATTTGATGAGTATTCCAGATCCATTTGGCAATCTCAGTTCGGCTACTCAACACCCAGTTGGGCAGTTCAATGTTCACTTAAAAATGCAGTCTATCTACTCAAAAGAACATTGAGAAACAAATTGTGTTTTCGAGATTTTTCCCTGTGTTCCTCTCTTCCTCCTCTCTTTCTCTCTCTTACGCCGAATTTCCAGTTATTTCATGAGTTGTTTGTGGCTTTTCAAAAACATTTTAAACACTCAAACAATAACATTGAACAGTTTACGAGCCAAAACGATCCGATTTTTGTAACATTGCAGTGGTTTCTAGGTTAACAACGCATTAAAAGATGATGCTCATTTAAACGTTGCGTTTGAGTTTCTCTCATTTCTTTAGGCAAATGTTTTTCTCTCGGTGTAATTCAAATGTGTTGAGTTCTCATTGCGAGGATTTGTTTGAACATTTCGAAGCATTGCAAAACAAAAATATGACATTCATTTTTACGAGTGGAGCAATACGCGTACAACTTTGAAAAAAAAGGATAGACTCAATAAAATTTAATTAGGGTTTTAAAACAAATGCGCCTAAAGTGTGTGTTATGGCCCTTCTCTCTTAAAACTTAAGTAAGAACATTCATATCACTTGCACTCATCGACTCAAGTCGTTGGAATCGCGTTAGTAGTGTTAAGATATAGTGATTGCCTGTTCAATAGCTATTTATTCAGACTCTATTTTTAGTTTGCTGTAGTTTTTAATCTCGCTGTATTTGGCTCTGTGATTATCAAAAAAAACCATCTTTATAACTAGAAAGTTCTTAAAATACGCATTTTACCTAAAAATAGTGATCGTACACACACTCGATTGATTGTTTACTTTTCTGTTGTTTTCTTCTATGGAGTGGTTTTAATGACGGAATACATTTTATCGGAATAATTCTTGATTGCACATTCTCAATGGAATGACATTATCAAACAGTCATAAATAAATGAATGAATAAGTGTCTATGATTCCAAAACAATATTCAATTTAAGTGTCTTTGAGACTTTTTTTTTCCATGAGAATGGAAAAATGCGCCAAATCTTCCGGAAGTTCGCTGTTGAAAAACAATGTTAGATTATTCAACTAATCTGCATGTTCCCCTTGCGTGTCGCCCATCATATACCAAAGATAAATCACCGGCAAATAGATTAAACAATTGAATCAAAATCATACAAGTAAACAATAGCTCTACACGTCTTGGAATACTACAAATTGATCACGACATTGTTTTCATTATCTATTTTGGATGCGATAATCGCTGGAGGTGCCATTTATGGTCTTACTTATGAATGGCTCATAAAAAGTCAATCCCATTCAAATTCAAATTCAATTCATTGGCTCTGCGTAAAAAATAAACACGATCATTTCCAAGTGTGACAGTGTCACCGAAACCCATCCGATTTTGGAGTTGGGTGTTTTTTTTTTTCAATAAATGTAAATCAATCCAAGAATAATAATGCTCCAAAATATGGCTTGTGACGTATGTTCGTATTTTAGTCAAAATTGATGATATTTTGAAAGAAAACCAAACTGAACTTTTGACTGAAAATAAGAAATTGATGCTGTTTTGGTCGAAAATGAAATGACAAACGTGAATGGCCGCAATATTATCTCCACATCAGTCTTTTAGTGAAGAGGTGGCAAAAGACGTTGACACGTGTTTTGCTGATTTTGTATAAATCATTTTTTTTGTGTGTCCAAATGCGCACGAATAGCCGATCTAAAACAGTGTATTATGAAATAGGATTCAAATGTTGCAGTATTTTGACCGACAGACGAGAACGAAAAAAATATGAAAATAGCACGAAATGCGAAGAAGAACAGGCGAAATGGCTGAAGAATTAAATTATTAGACACGAGGAAAAATACACAACAACAACACACAAGCCAAACATGCGCACCCGGTTTTTTTTCGCGCGATAGGATTTAACGCGATTATTATGAGTGCGAACACATAGTCGTTGTATATACAACATACGTATTGAGATCAGCATGTGATACGTGTGATGGCACAATCTCGAAATATTCGATGAGTTTCGCGCTTATTTACACGCACGCACACACACTCCACACAGCCAACAGATTAAAATTTTAATGAATTCATTATTAAGCACACATTTATCTAGTTGTTATGATCAAAGACAGATATAATAACCCAAGTCGTTTGTGGCAGTGGAAAAATTATGAATGCCGGTATCAAAAACACATCGCATGGTCTGGCACATGGATTGTATAAGAAGTGATTGGAATTCATTAATTATTATTGATAATCCGTCGATATGGTCAACTGAATCTAATGTTCAGATTGATTAGACGAGCGCTTGCGCTCGCGCACTCGATTTACACATCTTGTGTCATAATTTGTCGATTTAAACGTCTTCGCGCCCAGCGAATAATCGAATATGCAAATTAATTCAATAAATAAAACATACCGCGATCAAAAGTTTTCAATTCTAATAGCAAAAAAAGAAGAATCATGCATAAATGTAAGTGCTTGCCCAAGAATCGCGTTTTTTGTTTTTGATCAAATATTTGCTCGTGTACAATTCAAATTTCATATGCGATGATGTGGTTTCACTTTTCAATAAAATACATTGTTGCTGGGACCGATCGTTGTGCGGAATGTGTGTCTGGCACACACGGCAATTGGCTACAGCCGGTTCTAGCTGAGATGGGCATACTTAGCACTTTGGATGTAAACAACTTTTATTATTTCTACTTATCGCATCTGCGGCAAACAACTCTTATTTTGTTATGATTTGATCTCGTTTTGTTGTCACTCGCCCAACTCTGTGCTAGACAAATGGTTTTGCTTTCATTTGTTTAGAACAATTTATTTCTGGCTGATGCATATCAATGAATTGACAAGCAGCCACGCTTGGTTTTTCCTCTGAAGCGTCCAAACTGATCCGTCACCCCATTTTTTCTGCCGTTGGTCCATACTTAGCAATTCACCACGAATCCAAGAAATGAAAGACAGAAATTCTTCCTTTGTGTGACAATAGATTTAAAATGCAAATAAAAGTAGTTATGGGTTTAATCAGCTGGATGGAAAATTTCATTGAACATATTTAAATGCAAACCGATTTCTTCGTGCTTGCGCGTTCAAATTGAATTGAAAGTGAAAAAACGAGCAAGTAGCCAGCGTGTATAATTTGTTGAGTAAATGAATATATCGGATCAGTGACTTCCACTGAGTTTCCGAGTCAGTTTTTTGTGGTGCAGTGTTGGACTTTGCATATGGGGCCGTAGCTCATTTCTCAATTCAATGCTACATTCGTTGCAATAATTGTTTATCCAAATACCGACTTTTATGTGATTTGTTTTTGCACACAGCCGTATTTCGCATATAAACGAAGGCTTCGCCACCGAAGCTCCAAACAATGTACACGTTTATATGCATTCCGTCTTTTATTGAATGATCATGAAATGCAAGCATGAACTTATCCAAGCCTTATGTGCTTCGCTGCCTTAACTAAACAAATGATTACAAATATGTATATATCATGCATGATATACATGTGGTACTAGTATATATATATCGTGATATGGATATATGAACCGTTGCGACAAACAAATTCCCTCAGAATGTTTTAGTTTCAAAGTGCAATATGAAATTTTATATAGAGTTTACAACAACAACTCCATATGTTGTAAAAACTTTATGTTGCACTTTAAAACTAAAATATTCTGAGGTAATTTGTTTGTCGCAATGGTTCATATATGCGATGTTTTTTTCTGTTCGTTCACTCTGAGGCAACAGTGTGAATGGGCGATAAGTCAACGCCATTGGTGTGCAATGTGAATGAAAAAAGGAGAGCAACGCGAGATTGAGACAAAAAAAATGGTCAACATTTTTATTAACTACGCAGTTGATTTGATATCGTGCGAACCGTATGGATATACAACGTGTCAACGTGTGTGTATTGTAATGGTTAGAATAACTGAATTACATTCAATACACTTCAATCGAGTGCGAAGCAATTGGATTGAATTGGTTAGCGTTTCATTTACACGAAAATAAGCTTTAGGCTATTTTTGGTAGCGAAATCGACGGCGGTAGTACAATAATGGAATACCTTCTTTGTTATTCATGCGATCGAAAAATAGACATAGAAGAAGTACTAACGAGAACAAATACGGAACAGAAAATGGAATTTAATTGATCAATTTGTATGCAAATTGAGTGAAAAAGAATTCATAGTCCAACGAATCGATGTGAGACTCCGAATGAGAAAGAGTCGAAGCACATGTGAAATGAAAAAAATAAATAAAGAAATTCAACTCTTTTTCTTTGTTGCTGTTGTTGTTGTACGTGTGGAAGGACAAAGTGTGGTGCCATATCGTATAGCGAAAGGAAGAAAAAAATGAATATCTATACAGTGACATGTGTGTATATAGTATATATGATTATGCATATATGAGGCTGATTACACAGCGGACGTGATTTGACTACGCAGCATTCGGCACGACAGCATTCGTATCAATTCAAGTATATAACGAACAGCGAGAGCGATATAGCATATACTTCGGTATGCCGGTACATTTTATTTGATTGAACTAGATATTCGTTTTATTCTCACTCGCAGAAAGCACACATTCTGTTTACTCATGAATGACAAGAAAAATAAAGGTTCCTGTCTCCCAACAAAACCACACTTCAGCTGCAGTCCACCACACACTCACCATACACTCATACACACACATACACACACACACGAAAACATTGAAACTGTGCTAATATGTGGAATAAAAACAGAAAAAACAAGAATTGCTTCAAAACCAAGATACATTTTTATGCGCAGAAAGTTCAACGTTAGATAGTCAATATTCATAGAATGCTTGAAATGAAAGTCGAAAAAAAAAACTGAATAAGTGAGGAAAGAAGAAAGAAAAAAAACAAATTACGAAAACAACACAGCACGTTGTGAGCGTGAGCATGTTTACATTCTGGCTATATCGAATTCGTTGCCACATGAGTGAGTGTTGTTGTTCTGTCGCATACTCATGATGTGATAATTTCTCTTCTCTGTGTGTGCGCATTACAGTATGTGTACACGCTTCGTTGTGGTGTTTGTTGTGGATGGAGTGAGCGAACGAGAACAAAAAAAAAACAAACACATTGATGCGGCGCTCACTTTAAATGCTCGTACATCACCTACTCGGAAGTTTAGTTTGCGTTCAAACACTCGTTTGGAAGGAGCTCCACATTATAGCAGCAAAGTTAGGCGACAATAGTCTCTCACAACTTAGAATCAAATTGAATTCTTCTTTTTAATCTGCACAAATTTTTGTGATTTATTTTGTCGCTCGCGCGCTATCCAACGGATAAAATCTATCGTGTGAATTAAACGAAATAATTTTTCAACAGCTCAAAAATAGAAAGAGAATTTTTTTGTCAAGTGCAATTTCGAATTTTGAATAAAAGTGGTTTTTAACCCGATTTAAAGCAATCGTTACACTTAAATCGTCGATAAACGATTAAAAGCAAATAATCTCCGATAAATTCAAGTCAAAAGTTATTTTTTAAAAAAAGGAAGCAAAATGTCTGCATCACCAATGGCCCGCAATTTGTGCGCATCACACGCTCAATCGATTCCATCGAAGAAAGTCTTGATCCACGATCCAAACCAACTGCCCGATGTCTACTCATCAACACCCGGTGGCACCTTGTACTCAACTACTCCAGGAGGTAAATTTCTCAACAATCACGACACAAATCAATTTTATCATCGTAAAACAAATATTTCATCGACGATGATCCTAAAAAAAAAAATTCCCTCGATGAAAAAATAAAAATTCGGTATTGATGATTGAGGCAATCGATCTGGCAATTTATTAATTTTTTTATATTACCGCAACTTAATGACCTGTTGACCCTTGTGAATGGTATTAGTGCCGGTCGTAAATTGCATGATTTACAATCGCACTTACCCTCATGATGTTTATTTACGTCGCAACGCATTAAGTACGTAAATTAGGAGAAAAATATAGACACGTGAATGAAATCGTTTTCCAAATGTACATCAAAAAGAAAAAGAAATAAAACGCGCCGACTATTTCTGTGCTGTTCCATGCGTTTCAAAATTAGCATCAAGTAATTCGAAACGTCAATCAATTTAAATGCGTACTTGTTCGATGCGAGAGAATCTAATGTCGAATATATGCTCGGCGCGTGTTTCACATTATGCGGTGTCCCGTATTTGAGTCTCGTTCCAACATACGCATCATACGTAGTAGTGACCAAGTCGTAAATTAATCCATTGCTCGGCGAATAAATCGGTGCGAAATGAAATGAAAAGTATTCTCGTGTTGTAAATTTTTTTTTTGCAAATGAAAAAAAAGACCATCGCGCATTAAACACGCGAATGTGGATGAATTGAGAATATAGTGTGTTGCTCTGATACAAAAAAAGTATGTTTTAAAAGAAACTCTTTTTTCTTCCCAGCAAATACGCACCAACAAACCTAGCAATGTTGTTGTTGTTGTTGTTTTTGTGGATAGAACAAATGAAGTGCTTTTGGAATTGAGATTTGGTTGCTCGTGTTGGAAAGAGCGTGTGTGCCAAGTTTCCATTCTCCTTTCTGTTATTTTTAAATGCGCAATTCCGAATGTGGGGCAACGTGGATGTTATACGTGCGTGCTCGTCTGTGTATATCCAGAGCGGGTGTGAGTGAATAGCAGCAACATCAACAATACCTGATTAAATGTTAACATTCAGGGGAATTTTATGGTATCAGCGGCCAAAATCAGCTGTTTTTTTTTCTACACACTATTTTTTTTTAACCATATTCTCGAAACTGTCAAGCACCCGGCTTCTAAGATTTCCTCCCGAACGTTTTTTTCCGTTAAACTTGTTTTTTGTTTATTTCTTTGGGTTTTCTACAAAATTTGTGTTTTGCCCATTAGTTTTTTTTTTGGTAAAAGTTGAAATTTTTCATTTATTCTTCTTTCTCCTCGAATTTCATCCACAATCAAGTAGATGAATCCAAATGCTTTCTTAGAATATATTTCTTTTTAAATCTCTTCTGTATTCAATTTCGATGGCTTGAATTCCGATTTCACGAGAAAAACGTTCTTTGAATCAAACATTCATACAATTACCAAGAAAATGTTGTTTTGGCATCCATTTGAATGATGATGATTTGGCACTCAAGCGAGGAACGAAAAATGTTTCGTTGAAAAAGAAAACCCGAAAATTGCATTGGATAAAATTAGAAAGCGACTCGTTTAGCACGTCATCGCAGTAATTCGACGAAAAGCTGCACAGGATTTGACTATCATTAGATTTTCAACCATTTGTCTATCATCAATTTGTCTCGAGTGCTGACAAAAAAATATTTTTGTTTGATTTACAATTTATTATTGAAGGAGACTTTAAGCACGTTCACCATGATTCGTCATTCGTTTCGATGATCGAAAAACAACAGCAAATAAAGTTGTATATTATGATAATGAAGTTAACGCTCGTTTTGACGAGAGACGTAAACAAACGTGTGGGTTGGCGAACATTTTGCGCCATTTGATGTCGTTTTGGTCGTCCGATTCTAAATGCGCTCACTCGTTCAGTTCGATGAACTACGTAACAGATGATCAAATCCAATACAACTCAATTTCAAAAAAAAAAAACAAAATTTATGTATAACTTGAACCTGAATGCGCTCTCACTCAGATATATATTGCATATACACATGCACAAATACATTCACATGAACGGAACATATTGAGACGCATGAAAAAAGGAAATAAATTGTGGTTAGCTAGTGTTTTGCAATCATTCCTATTTGTGTTTTCGTGTTACGCGAAAATTTTGTGTTGTTCAAATAGAGATCACATGTTGTTGGTGTACTTTTCGCTTATCAATTAGACTGATAGATTATTTATCGCATCGGTCCTATTTAGTAAGCTTTTTGTCAGATCGCCTGCCTTAATCATACCAACATTTTCATTTCGTAACCATTTTTAACGCAAAGTCTAATAATTTTTGTTCCTCTTTTTTTTCTGCACAGGTACTCGTATCATTTACGAACGTGCTTTCTTGATGAATCTCAAAAATTCGCCATTGGCTCGTACTCCACCATCGGTGCCAAGCTGTTTGGTGCGTGGCAACAAAAATGTGCCGATGTCAAAGCTCAGCGGCAACAGCAACACCAATAGATATCCAAGCGCGATCAGTCGAAGCCCACCAACGTATCCAAGCTCGATCAGCCGAAGCCCACCAACGCATAAGTCATGCGATGACCAACAATTTGATATGGACCTTTAAACACCATGCTTTCAATTGCAAAGCATACAATTTCATCTCAACACCTCATTTGCGAAACTGAAAATCCTAGATTTTAGCAACAAGTATCTATCCATACAAAAACATTGTTTTACCCTGTGTCTCGTTCACTTGAAACAGCGGTAATAGTTTTAAGGCGCATTTACAGAAAGAAACTTGAGAAAAAACAAATTCTTTGAAACCGCTGTGATTATGTTATTCAAAGCAATCCCAGATATATTGCGGTTTAGAAAACAAAAAAAAACCTAGAAAAATGCCGTTTAACTGTACGAATTCATTAGAACAATTTCATCAGACTGCTAAATTCGAGTTTCGTTCGAAATTCCCTTGATATTTATCCAATCATTCTCAACGAAAAAAAGGAAACAAAAACAAAACCATTTGGAAATTCATTAGCATTTAAATTGTATTGTTTAAGTTGTATCAGTAGAAAAGATATTAAATCTACCAAAAATGAAAAAGAGAAAGAAAAAAAAAACGCTTTCTTATCGTTTAACATCCAACTTTATTTTGGTGTTTTTTTTTGTGTTTTGTTTTTTGTTCTAAGAACAAATCTGTTAAATTTAAAAAAAAATTGAATAAATTGAAAATAACTTGAGAAAATTATATGATTTCAGTTCGATTTTTTATCGTTTGAACACTTTTGTCTAGATTTTTTCTTTATATTTCAGTCTTTTTCTTTGTTTCTTTTTTAATATTTCAGTCTTCGGTTTCTTGAGTGATTTGATTTTTTTTTTAATTTTAGATTTCTTCTTGGTTTTCAGTTGGCTCAATTGAATGTTGTTTCATTGATGATCGAGACCCGAATCGCAATAGAAATTAAGTATACTTTAAATTATCGACATGAAATTGAGATAGATAATTTAGCTTAAGGATGGATCTGATAGCATTAATCGGTTGACACGTCATTGCTTGTCAATCAAAGTGCGACATTCAAATTTTTTTTCGTGTAAACCTTGATCTTGCACCGAACAGATGAACGAATGCGTCCAACCTGCAAAGAGCCCAAATCCTAACCGTCGTCAAATTGATAACAACCTGTCGATCCTTCGACGTATAAAAACATAATCGCTATTTTAATAACACAAGAAAGGCTTTAATGCGCAAATAGTTGATAGAAGATATAAGGCTTTATTTTGATTCAACATGAGTTTGACGCTTGTGTTGAGCTTCGAATAGAAGTTTTTTTTTCTATTTTGATGATCAATTTTTGTCGAAAAATATATGCATATTTCATAGACTAAAAATCATTTTTGGCTTGTACAAATTTACTCACGAAAAATCTTTTTGATCTACATATTTTGAATCTTTAAAAAACTCCATTGAAAAGTATTTCAAAATCTAATTTAATTGTTGATGTCGTTTTTTGCTAAGGTGTTTATGGTGCACATAAATAATATCATAGAAATTTCGCTTGAATTGAGGCTGATACAAACAAAAGTAGTGCATTTCTGAATGAAAAGAATCATGAAGAAACGAATCGTACATTATGGACTGATATAACATAAACCATCATTTAAGATGGCCATAGCAAAAACTACACTGCATCATCAACCCAAACGAATGTCAACAAACAAACAATTTGTAATAAACATGCTGATTCGATAAAGTTCCTCATCTGCAATTTTTGAAATCATTTTAAATTCGATTTCTGTTTTATTCACCATTTTCATTCGCAGAAGAAACTGTTCTTTAGGAATGTCTCTGCACCGAAATTTGACACAATTACTTCGCACATGTGTGAAGAGAAAAAAATCTCTCCGTTCAAATAAGAAACGTTGTTTCTCTCTGGGAGTAAATCAAAATACAGCGCCAATTTCCCCAGCGACGGAAAAAATACAAAGTACAGGAATTGAACGAGCTACGTGACAGCTGATAATTTTGACATTTGACATAATTTTTTCCATCACTCCGAACGAAAACATTGTAGGCAAAACGCAAAAGTTTCTTTTCCTTTCGGGTTTGCATTCGAAAGTTTTGTTTTTCTTGTATTTTATTGTTGGCATTGGACGAAAAAAGGAAATTAATTGAAAATGCCGGAGGAAGCGCCAGCCCGTAACGTTATCGAGCGAATGGTAAATCGTGCATGCAATGTATTGGAGGGTCCTGTTGTTTGGTTCAGAGGTATTATCGTGATATATTTTCCGTATTTTGAATTATTTTCCGTGTCATTCGATTCATCGTCTTCGAAAAAGGTTTGGTCTAAGCATTACCATTGAGATTTAACTTTGAATCCATTGTAAAATTGGTCCAAATCTTCTTTTCATTGTACGTCAGTGCAAATTACATAATACGAGCTACGCATATTACCTAACCACACTTTTTGTTTGTATTCCAATTTTATAGAAACGGTTGTTACACCAAACCAAAAACAATATCCATGGTATCATCAGAAATTCCGTCGTGTACCAACGATTGATCAATGCTACATGGACGATCCATGCTGTTATCATGAAGCCAATATGCAATTCAGACGCGATAAATTAGTCGACAATGAAATTTTGAGCATTTTACGTCAACGCTTCGAAGATTGTGTTGCCTATGAAACACCAGATCATGTCGAAAAATGCACACCACTCTGGGAATACTATCAAAGAGCCGAAGCCAATTGGTTTTCCAAATGTGAGTTCAATTAAAAATGGGGGTTTAAAATGTTGAAAAAGATGGAAAACTCCGATTCGAAGCCAATTCACTTTGAAACGAAGTGTTTTTTTCCAAAGAGATTGATCATTTCATCTGCTAATTCCATCAATTCTCGTTTCACAGACGGTGATTTAGGATTTTACGGAACAGCTGTAGCTGCCTTTATGAAACAAAAGCATAGACTTATCTGGGAACGTCGGCACGGTAAGATTGGTAGCGGCCGAAAAGACCTTGCAGTTGAATCAGCTGACTCAGACAACTGAAAATCTGGTCGAATTTCCCATTTTGCTCACCGCCAGCAAATGGTGTTACCGATGAAATACAAGAATACTAGTAGATCCAATATTTTGGTAAAATTAAGCAAATCTGATAAATAAAATGATGAAAAAAAATGGAAATTTTCGTTGTTTTTAGTCACTTATTGAAAAGATATGAATTCTTTATTCAGTCGTTTCTGAGGTCAATCATAATTAAGATTTTCTTTGCATTTTTCTACAAATTATTTATAAATATTTTCTATTAAAATTCGGCTACTTTTTTCTATAAATACAAATCTGAGCGAAAATTCAAAAATTCTATCTAATGAATGAAATGGTAATACAGAATATGTTGATGAGAGCCTCTCTTTTTAGCAAATATTTACAAGAGGTTGATCCATAAGACTCTTCTTGAGCTTAGCTAAAGTGGATTTAGCCTTGACATCGTTTGCGCTTCTTGATCGCCCTCCGAGAGGAATCAATGTTTGATCATGTAGCTGTCGACGGAACATTTTGTAGAAGCGCAACACATCCGGGTCAGCCCATACTTGCTTCATGTCGAAGTCCAAAATTCGAATGCTATCCAAACTTTGTGCTCGCGACAGTGCCACGTACGCTTGACCAGCTTCGAATACTTTTGACAGAGACATCTCAACACAATCTAGTGTCAGTCCTTGTGATTTGTGAATTGAAAACGCCCAAGCGAGCTTCAACGGAATTTGCTTTCGTGTTATCAATGTTCCAGCTAGAAATAGAGAAAAATGGGTAAAAATTAGATCATATTTCAAAATCATTTGCTCAACGAGTTGTTTGTTTTCAAGAATTTCGAATGAAAAAAAATTGAAATAGCTTCTTCCAAATAGGAAAAGAAAGGGAAGAAAAAGTAAAAAATGAGACAATAATTCCGTTCTAAAAGGTATACAAACCTGGTGTTTTGATGATCCATTTCTCCGGCTTTGCCGTGTATTGCTTGTTATTCTTCAATTTGATAATTGGCAGCCCACCGTTGGTAGTGAATCCACTGACCACACCGCGAGCCCCATTGACCAAACCTTCGGAGACGTTGATATTTTTCAAGAGCATCACTTGAGCACCAATTTTTAGCGTCAATCGTGACGGTGCCATCACTTGACTATCTAGCTGCTTTGTATACGATGAATCACTGTCTTGAGCTTCAAAGACCCGTTCCTCCGTTTTGAGATTGGACAATTTGGATTCGTTGATCAAATTCGAGTCATTTGTGTGCGAGCACAACTGAGTTGCCAAAACGCCATTACTTTCGATCTTTTGCTTTGAGGTGGCCATCAAGCGCTTGGCTATTTCGTCATTTACGTGACCCACACGAAGGAAATTCAAAATTCGAATAAATTCGCTGTCTTTTTGCCGATGAACTTGTTTCAGTTCGTAGGAAACCGAAATCACTTTGAGCCAAGTTTCGGTTTGGAAACAGAAACGCTTGGACTGAGATTGTTGCGATGCATACGCAGTTTTGATGACCGGCGGCAATTGCAGAAAATCACCACACAAAATCAATTGGATACCACCAAATGGCTTGTCATTTCGTCGAACGTTTCGGGCAACTGCCTCGATTTTCTGAAAAGTAGACCGGAATGTTTTTAATGCGACGAAAAATTGAAATCAACGATCGCTAAAAAACTTAACATCAAAAAATGTGCTCGTGTTCAAATTTTGATCGAAAAAAAATGGACGTCAACTATTTTGGTTTTCATTCAAGCGAAGAAAAAAATTCTTTTGAAGAAGAAAAAAAAAACTTTTTCAAAGAATTCAAGAAAATTCTCACTAACCTCAAAATATTCACCATCCACCATGGATATTTCGTCAATAATAAGCCGTTTGCACTTGCGCCATGCTTGTGCTGATGCCGGACGAGTGGCTAAGTCGATGCACCGTTGCAAACCAGCGTCACCGGCTCCAATTCCGCAGAATGAATGTAACGTTACACCGCCTGTAAACCAAAACAACAACAAAACACTCATGTCAGCAAATAGCGTTACATTGCTACTGTGTATTGTTGCACATACCAATCAAGCAAGCAGCAACACCAGTCGATGCTGTAGCAACGGTACCTAGAAACAATGCATTTCCCATTAGTTTTATATGTTCATGCGAAATTCCAAAGAATAATCATCGTACCATCGGGTGGCAAAACCGAGATAATTTTCTTCAAAAGAAAACTTTTGCCCGTTCCGGCACTTCCAGTGAAGAAGACATTTTTCCCATTAATGCAGGCTCTGAGCACCTCATTTTGTTCGTCATTCAATCGAATTTGTGGTTCAACTTCAATCGGTTGTTCAACATTGGCTTTTTTCATCAAATTTCCCTTCGCGTTTGATTCACCTTTTGCATCGCTTCCAACTTGGTCAAATTTACGTTTCTTCGATGGCGGTGATGGTGTGGTTGGTGTTGCTCTCGATAGACCGGCAAATTTTTTGGCTCTAGCCAATTCCAAATTCGTCACTGGGCTGATATCATCGAATTTGCATGGATTTTCACTAAGCATTCGAGTTCGAACATCTTGCACTTTGCCCGTTCCATTTCCATTCGCTCCATTTGCTGAAGTCATTTTAATGAACAATGTTCGTAGAAAATTCATCAACAAACCCGGTGGTGCATTGGATGCGTACAGCATACATTTGTCCCGATTGAATTTGATGCTCGCTTTACCTTCGCTCATGAACTTTTTGTGCACCAGAATGTCTTTGAGCAGCAAACGTGCGGTGGTCGGTCCCTTTTCGGTGCTCACTTCAACAAAGAGTTCACGTGTATCGCTTCGAATGAGACGCAATGTGGCCAATTTGTGGGTAATTTTCCGAACACTTATCCCTTGTGCATTCAACCAATCCAAGCTCACGGCACACGTTATCACAGTATCTTCGGAATCCATTTTAATTTTCAGTTACGAAAAAATTTGCCGAAAATGCGGAAGAAAAAAAATGTTTTTGTTGGCCCTCCCTCCAAACAAAGCAAAACACACACGCATCTGACGAAGACGCGCTAAAACAGTTCTTCGGTTGACAACCATTCAAAACAATGATGAATCAAACAGTTGTGATGTTTGCTAGTAGTGGCGCTGCAAGTGCAAATGGCATCGGGAAATACTAAAAAGTGAGAGAATTTGAATTGATTTGGGAGTTGCCGGCTTGTGACTTTTGAAAAGAAAAAGAAAATTATTGACGGCATTTGAAAATGGAACAATTTTTTATTTGATTTTACCATCGAGCAAATTAAATCAATTTTTCAAATTAAATCCAACGTAAGTGTTTCGAAAAGCAAAAATTTGATTTGCTTGCACAACTCTAACTTGCACACCGGGAAGTTCAAGTTCACACAAGAACTTTAGCCATGTGGTTTGAGTCTCGTCTAATGTGTTTGTTACTCAGCTGACAATTTGCATCAAGTTTAATTGGAGAAACAGCCCATACACCAACTTGATGCAACTCGAAAAAAATGAATTTCAAAATACAAATAAAAATGTTAAAATTTTGGTCCGTTCTAGAAAAAATAAAAAAGATGGTATAACGACTAATCGATCGATATACTAGAAATCGACGTGTAAATGCCTGAACATGCATTTTTCAGGTGAAATGTGCAAATGTAAAATCGTAGACGTTATTCCAGGAATTCAATTCGAAAGCATATAAAATAGATGGAACATCTGACAAGAAGAAATGACGCTATAAAATCGAATTGAAAAAGCGTTAGCAACAAATTGTGTTTGAAAATATTCTGGGCATTGGAGTGACGTTTGAATGATGAATCTTTTTTTCGACTACAAAATTTCGGTCGAGTACTTTGCATTTGCAATTTCGTTTCGAATAACCGCGTTTAATTAACGAAATTGGTGGTTAATTTGTTTTGGTACTTTCTTGTATGTGAGTCGTTTTTCTTGTTGTGACTGTGGTTGCCAATGCCCTAACTTATTCGATAAGACCACCATACACATAACACACATTCGCCTCTTGGCACAGAAGAAAATATATGCGAAGCCATTAAAGAAACCTCAGCAGAAACCACTGGATCCGTTTTGTTCCAGTATCAAACTCTTAAAAGTGCGGAATAATTTTCATCTAAGCAAATTGTTTCGTTCTAAGTCTCAAAGCGAGTTGGATGAGAATGAATCTGAGACTTGGGGCTGGAGAAGCATGTGTGCGGTTTTGAATGTCATCTAATTCAATTTCTTGTGGCCAGTGTGTTCTTGGCCCATCGAATTCTCGTTTTCTCGTTCTCTCTCCTCGTCTTCATCTTCTCCTCTCTTTTTTCTTCATTTCGCAGTCTAAACATCACAAATATTTGTCTATACGATGATACTTATTATTCTGTGGATCGGCTCACATATTACGGCGAATCCATTTTATTTCGGTGCTTCTTACCATCAATTGAGAGGCAATGTAATGATAGGCGCACCGTATATATTTTTGGGCATTGAATTTACTGAGGGGCTCCAACAACAGCAGCAGAAGCAGCAACAACAACAAAACATCATCCAAAAAAACAACATGGTATGTAGCCTTCCTTACATATCTCTCTCTCTGTCGACCCGACAAAGTCATGTACTTGTATAACGTACAAAGAGTGCATGGTGGCTCTATTTAAAGCGGTCTCGATACATAAAGTGCGCGCATACGTAAAGAAAATAGCAACAAAAAGCGCCAAAAAACACACACACACAACTCACACGGAATATCCTACAGAAAAAAAGGAGAAAGGAAAAAACGGCGACGACGACGACGACAGCAGCAATCAAACCCAGAAAATTCTGGTTGTACCGTGTTGTACACTTGCTGTATGGCATTTTTTGCGGTATATATATGTGTGCAGTATGAATTTAGGCATGGTTTGAATGTTAGAACTGGATAGTATTATTATTATAATATTTAGCGATTCGATATTTTTTCCTTTCTTTTTTGTGCCCACATTTTTTTTGCTCGTTAGCTTTTTGTTTTATTAAACGGGCATGGAGAAGGAAAAAAACTGATGGAAACAACAACACTACACAATGATGTGAGTATGAGTGTTGGTGTACAGAGATACTTGCGATTTCGATAGCGTTCTCGTCACAACACAATAACTATAGTCAGCAATGGGCAACATGAGGAAAAACCGAAATTGAATCAGAGCCGTAACCAGAACGTAATGCTTGGGCATGCTGAGCATCCAAAAAAAAAAAAAAATTTCCAGATAAACTTTAACAAAACCATATTTCCAGATAAAAATATTTATTGAATAAAATGCGAACAATGGTTGTTACGATTATTATGTTTTTTTAAAGAATATTAATTTTACGTTGCTTTTCATCAAAAAAATACTTAAGAATACGTTCATTCGGAAATGCGTGTAAATATTTATTTTCAAAGGCCAAAAATGAAAGATCGCACATTCGTTGCTCACTCATTGACATACGTTTCATTGTTTCTATTCGCGACAAACACGAAAAAGATGACTCACTTATAGCTGTGCTCGATCCAAACGTTTCGACCATGCAGAAAAAATCATAAACATCGGGAATCGCGATACGAATTTTATATAATTCTTCTAAGACATTAAATTTATAGTCTGGATCATTTTGTTTTGACTTTGCTTCCTCTCTCTGTAAATATTGTTTGGCTACGTTGATGCTGCTCTCATCAGGCGAATTTACACTAAGGAATAAAAGTGGCTTTATTTTGTTCAAATCCATTTCATATGCTGTGCTCAATGCTAACAATATTTCATTATTTTCTTGAAAACATCGTTCCATTTCAGAAAGAATTTTCTGAATAGTTTGATTGAATGCATTTTCTACCTCTTTTCGCGGCTCATCTTTGGTGCTCAAACCCGAAACTTCGTAATCATTTAAATATTGTGATAGTCTTCGGAATCGAAATATTTACTTATTTCGGACGGTTTGCGCGCACTTGTTTCCAAATCGATATTCGCCACTTTATCTCGTTCACTTGCATTATCAGAGACTGGTTGATCACTGTTTGAAGCTATTTCTGGAGCGTTAGTTCGTGATGCTGAAGCACTTGAAGTCGAAGCGGATTCAACGGCGGCTATTGCTATTAATAATATATTCTAGGGGACAGACACGATTAAAAAAATAGTGATATTTCGTTCAAAAATAGCAAAATTAGCAGAAATTAGAGAGACTGAAAGTTTTTTGTTCCATACATTTAGCATTGCCAATACATTTCCTTATGGAGGTTGTTTTGTTTATTTACCGTTATTTGTCAACAAGTCTGTCTTTATCAACGCATTGCACTGTACATAGTCCATAAGAAATACATAGAGACAATGCAAAAGATCGGCAGATTTTTTTACAAACAACGATGAATAAACAAAACAAAAATCTCCATAAGGAATTACCAATGCATTGGTAATACTAAATGTGTGGAAGAAAAATCTAAAAAATTAGCAAAAACTTATGGAATTAGAATCACTACAATTTAAGTCCTCCATACCATTTCTCTGAAAGGGACCAACAATAGTCTCTTGTTTTAATTTTTTATTCATTTCGAACACAATGTTTGCAATTCAACAATTGAAACTCAAATGAAGTTCGCTCAATTTTCGGCAGCAGCCAGAACGCCGATCGATTATGATTAATCATGAGCAAGCGATTGTTTTCATTTAGTCATATACCGTTAAAACAGTTGACATAATGCATTGAATTGCAAACACAGAATGCTTTGAAATTTTTTAAGCAGTTTGTTTATCAGCTGATTGAACTGTTGATCGCAAATCTGCTGACGCGACAATATTGCGATTATGTAAATACATGGAAGATAAGCCACAGTACATTGTGTGAACAATCCAAATGGCATGAGACTAAACAATAGTGAGTGAACGATATATTGTACATTGCATTTTGGATATAGCTTGCTTCTTGCTCTTGAAATTATAATAATCGACTAGTTGTTGTTATTATTGATAGCTGAGCGAATTTCATTTGAATTTTGCATATAAATTGTAGAATAATACAATTTCTTTCTGAGTCGAGCATGCTTTGGGCATGCTCAGGCAATTTTTGGGCATGCTGAGCATACTCCGCACCACTCTGGATACGGCTCTGAATTGAATGCAAAATTCACTGTGGCATGGGCTCGATAATAGCGCCAATGTAGACGATTCTATTTGCTTAAAAAGTTTTCTCTTTGCGTCGCTTCTCGAAAACATTCTCAACCGCTGACTTTGCTTATTGAGTGAGACTACACAGTGCTACATGCATTGTACAAAGTGAACATTGGTGTATGTATAGCAACCGGCACAAGATATTTACCGAGCAATAGAGAAGGAATGAGAGAGAGAGAGAGAGAGAGAGAGAGAGAGAGAGAGAGAGGTGGCGAGAGAGCCAAAAGTCGGAGCTTGGCGAACACGACTTTGGCAAAGAGACACCAAGTCGCTCGAGAGAGAGAGAGAGAGAGAGAGATACACAAAACCGACAACAAAAGCAAAATCCGAATTATGCGATTGTCGTTAGCATTTTCAAATAGACGTAGACAACCTTCTTCAATTTGTGTGCGCCACACCAACGCACACACATTATATTTCGAGTCGTCGTTGTCCCGAAACGTTTCACATTTCACTGAAACGCGCGCGAGTGCCTCTCAATTGATACAATAAACGCGAGGAGACCGGACAAATGTATGTGTAAAATTCTATTAGCTCGTCTGCTCTACATGACCTGTTCATCGTTCTGTTCAACTTACAAGCAACGAAAAACGCAAAGAAATGAGAGCAAATTTTTTTTTATCCAAAACCAGAGAAAAGAAATCGAATTGGAAAATGTAAATTCAAAAATATCCATGTAAATAGGACGCGCGTGAAATTGGCGTTCTTCTTTTGTTTTGCTGCCTCGTCGAAACCAATCATTTCTAGAAATGCCATTGTCCAAAATCAATAAATTTTGAAATCTATTTTACCCATCAATTTAATATAATTTTGAGCTGCAAACCGCAAAGCAAAAGCAATTTAATGTTTGTTTCTATTTCGATAGATTTTCGCTAAATTGGAATGATGTATGTTGTTGAATGGATACGGGGGCACCCATACGCGCTTATTCAAAAACTGACGGACGGAATGAATAAATTATGATTATTGCAAATGAGACTTGTATTTTCTCGAAATTCCGAAATCATTTTGGCCATAATCAAGTTGGAATGAATGGGCAAGCGGAATAATGAAACGTAATTCTGTTTTTAAATGAAGTGCCTCTGAGAAAAATTTTCAGTAAAAAAGCCCCACAAAAATATTGTCTGAATAAGATTTTCATACAAATTTTTATCAGACAATATTTTTGTGGGGCTTTTTTACTGAAAAATTTTCTCAGAGGCACTTCATTTGAAAACAGAATTACGTTTCATTATTCCGCTTGCCCATTCGAATGGTCATTTTGATTTTGTGTTATTAAACCGTTCTCGTCTGGTGTGTGTGTTTTGGCTCGATAATTACTCAAACTAGACGAACATCGAAAACACGACGAATATAGACGTGTATTCATTGGGAATCATTATAAATTGCCATTCAAAACGATTCGCCAAACTTTGACTAGTTTGAGGAATAGACGACGACGACGTCGTCCAAAAAAACGCATAATATTGGCAAGCGAACAGAGTAAAATCGCGCGACAACACGCAAAAATAGAGAAAAAAAAAACAAAACAACACACAAGAGAACGGAACGAAGAAGGAACAACAGAAGAAATAAAAAAAAAAAACAAAACAAAACACACACACATTGCAAATACACACAGCATGACATTATTAAAAAAACGGCGACCAAGAAGCAATCGAAAAAAGAAAAAAAAAAGCGGTTCGTTTTTTATGCCGTCGTCGTCGTTTGCTTTTGGATTCATCTTCTATGACCAATTGATTATATTGGATTATTGATGAGTATGACTGTGCAAATACGTGAATATGTACAGCTCGGTTCGGTTCGGTTTGGCTTGTGCATGTGACTATGTATGTGTTGTCTATGTATTTTTTTCCTAATGTCGGCCTTTTTTCATGTGCCCGCGAATCGCCGACATCAGTGCGACAATGATGAGACGAGCGAGATAGAGCGAATGAAGAGAAGAGAAAAAAGCAGCAACAAAGCCAAACAGAAACGGTTGAGTCTTTAGCTTACCACTATTTGAACTATGTTTATATCGATTGCTCGCTGTTTGTCGCCATTTAAAGTGCACACCGAAAACCGCGAACGAGCGGGCGCGCGAGAACGACAGAAAGGGAGAGAGAGAGAGAGTTTTAGTCGCCCCGTGTACTTGTACATAGCCATATTCCCACAAACAGAGAGAACAGAACAGAAGAGAAACGAAGCGCGATGAAGAGACGAGTTGAGAATGAAAAAAAAAACAGCAACGCGAAAAAGCAAAACGAGCAGCAGCAGCAGTAACATCTGTATATATGTGTCGCATAAGTTCGTTAGTGGAAGCCGCCATAACAAAGTCAACTTCTGCATATTTTAATATTCTACGCTAGTGCCGAATATGTGAATATATTTGCCGTCGCGCAACAACGCTCACATGTGTGGGAACCGCCGTTCTGTGCAGCGCGACACAAGCAAACCAGGGTAATCTCGGTGGTTAAGCCGATGACGCCGACCGCTTCAGCACTCGCCAATGGCATCGGCTCACATTCATGACCAAGCACACATACTCCCGTCGTCGTCACCGCCACCGAGCGTTTTTTCACTATCGTATTTTCCTCGCTCCGCGCGTACTCGTTTGCATGCGAAGCGTTTGTCTGTCTAGTATGTCGCACATTCTGCGACCGCCGTCGTTCTATTGACCAGCATGAAATTATATACGCGTATATTGAATTCACTAAACCTCATGCACATTGACTAATTTAAACGAATTTGTGTGCCCATGTTCAATTCTTCGTTCATTTTTTTTACTTCGATTTTTTGCTGGCTGTTTTTTTTTATTTTTGCTCTTTTTTTTCAAATTTACCACATTTTATCGTCGATTTGTTCTTTTTATATACAAAATCTGGTCCAAAATAAAAATATCGTGAAATTTTTTATTTATACAAAAAGGTCAACAATCTCAACTGATTGTTGAATTTTTTTTTTTTAAAATCAGCTGTAAAAAATTCCACTCGCTAACAAAGCAAACTCATTTGAATGTAAACGATCGTAGTCAAAGAGAAATACTTATTCGAATGTGTGTCCTTCACACAGCCGATGCGATGATAACGCATAAATCGTGAATCCGTAATTCAGACTCTGGTTTGTCACACACAATGCAATTTCGATAAGTATTACAGTGGCACTCGCACTTTAGACGTGTTTGTGTAAAAATCGTCTGGCAATGAGCAGGATGGCAAGAGTGTGTATGTTGCGCAAACGAACGAGTTGGAAGCGAGAGCACTGCATTGGCACTGTATGTTCTGAAGTCGCTGTGTGTATTTTCTCGGGCGAGAATGGATGTGTAGACAATGAGAGAGCAGGAGCGAACCGAAAACCAGACAAGTAAATATTGCACATATACATGGAAAATAGCGCGAAGCGTCTGCGAGCATTAACAAACGGCGAACGAGCGAACGAACGAATAAAAAAAAATCTATATTCACATAGTCAATGTTACGCATATATACTATATATACATCGCATACATAAGCGCGGGTTTGACTCATAACAGCAATGAGTTGGAATCGACCGCGCGCGCGGTGAGCAGAGAGTGCGAGCACGCACAACTACATTGAATCGGGTGTATGGATGCCGCTATACCGTCGCCGTCGTCGTTGTCGTCAGTGTTGTTGGTGCAAGACAGACACGCAGACATGGCTCGCATACATGGAAAATATTGAATGCGCCGAGACAATATGTATATGCTACAAACACAATCATACAACACACTCGGCATACAGAGGTTGCGTATTTTGCCAGACATTTTATTTAAAACAGAAATATTCTGTTGATCAAAGTGAACGGAACCGTTCGGTTGATTTTTCTGTCGTCGCACATATTAGGGAAACAAAACGTTAACGAAACAGAATAGCAGTGTCAACACTGGGTGCATATAATACGTGAGACACAACAGTTTTGACCGATACAAATCCAGATAACAAACTCATCATTCAGTTAAGCAATAGTTGTTTTTTTTTTGAAGAAAAAAAAAAAACTCAGAGAAAATTCGAAAAAATCCAGGAAAAAAAAACAACGATGAAAAAAAAATTGACTCAGAAGGTGACAAACTACACTTCCGATGTGTTTCATTGAATTTATTGGACAAGAAAAAAAAATCGCATCGAACACACTGCACAGCCACACAATCAGCAGGACGTCATCTATTCAAATTCATTGAAATTTATCGCTTCAACTCCTTCGATGAATAAATTTAAATGGTTAAAAACAGCTTGGTTTTTATATTTAAACGAGCGAGATAAACAGAGTGTGTGTGTATATATGTGCCTAAAAAGTGATTGATCTCGATTTTGTTCGATTTGACGAAGTGAGTGATTCAAAGTGAAGTGATTTTACGAGGAAAAAAATAGACGAAAACAAAAAAGAAAAGAAAAGAAAAACACACACGGCAATCGTGAAGCATGCACAATGAATGAAGCCGTTCGGTGAAACAAAACAACAACAACGAAAAGAAAAAAGCGTAAAGTAAAGATTTCATTGACGAAGTCAAATCTCGGCAGGGTGTTGTTTATGCAAACTCACTCAGTCTAATTGATAAACAAGTGAGGAATCAGTTCGAAATTCCGTAAATAGTAAACAATCGAAGAGAGAATAACAACAATAAACTGTCGACTGTCAGTAAAGAAAGAGACACAATTTTTGCATGCAGATAAGCCGATTTGTAGACAATAAACGATTAAGAGAAGAAAAAAACGAGTCAAAGCTTTGTGTCAATAAAAACCGACGTGGACGAGACCGAAATACATTTTTAACCAGCCGATCAAAAATAAAATTTCGTGTAATCTTACATTCGATTTGATTGAGAACAAGCACAACAGTGAAGTAAATAAGAAACAGAGAAAAAAAGAACAAAACACACCCGGAAAAAGAGAAGAAACAGACACACATGTCTTTTTTGTTGCACGCATCAGCAATCTTCCGAAAAAGACAAGAATTTTTTGTTTTCCTTTAGCGCAAGTAAAACCAGTTTGTGCTCTGTTCCTTTCGCGTTCCGCATGAATTTCGCGGAGACATTAAATAAGGAAACAATTTGCTAGTGAGATAGATAAATCGCGCGCGCGTCTCGCTCTCTTTTTGTTAAACCCGGTGTGTATATGTAATAGATAATCGTTGTGTGAGTGGGCTGTATCAAATGACCGTATGACCGACGTCGTTTTTTCGATTCAATATCTACATACAGCATTATTATCGGTGTACGCGGCTCATTCATCTAGAGCATTTCAATTAATTGCAATCTGGTGTTTTCATTTTGGTCTATCAGTGTCTGTATATTCCTGAAACGATATAAAAATATCCGAACATACAAAACGGAGAGAATAAATAGCAGATAATCAGAGAACGCTCGCTACGGTTATTTTTTATTCGCCCGCTCTTGTTCTATTCGCCGGGTCATAGAAAATTGCCTGGAATTGTTTTGAATGACAAAAAAAAGTACATCGTCAGCGGCAGAAAAAAATCATATTGTTGCAAATTGACGGCACAAACACGAAACGACACAATATCATTTCGGTGTTGCCTGTGTGTTCATTGTTTTTACACACACAAAAAAAATCGCCGAGATTGCTGTTTGCACATACACACACACACGCAGGAAAAAACCCGGTGTTATTGAGAGCCAGTGACAATACAAAATTGAGTTGTTTCAACGAAATCGAGATTGCTTTTTTCGCATACGTTTCTCTGGCTCGTAGAAATAATCCAGCCGAAAAAGAAAGCATTGATACAGATACAAAAAAAATCTGTAGTCGTTCAGCAGCATCAGCAGCAAGCAACACACATCAACATCAAACATCCGGCAAAATGGATAAATCATTTGATTGTTTTAAATTCTGCATTGGTTTCATTTCATTACGAAGCGTTCAGCGATCAACAGTGATGATTTTGCACGAATAGAAATCAAGGCAAATTGAAGACAAGTAACAAACACACAGAGAAAAAAATCCGCACACGAAACATATATAGAAACGTCGATTGAATCGATTTGAAGGAGAAAGAAGTGAGTAAGCAAAAAGAGAGACTCTTACGAACAACAAATAAAAGTGACCGAAAATAAAACAAGTTAAAGCAATCTCAGTGAAATCGAACAAAAAAGAATCTAAGCAGAAACATTAGAATCATCTTCGAAAGACGACACCCAACAACAACAACAACAAAAACTCACACACAACGAAAATGAATGAATTTGTGACGCCACATTCATTGCGAAGCGTGTTAAAAATTTACCAAGACAGTGCAACAAAGAGTTTGCAGGGTCCTGGCTCTTCGATTGTCGTCCATTCATCGTCGTCGACGGCGATGAAAAAAGAAATCCCATCACCAGATCTCCGCGATGAGCCACACACGCCGGCTCCACCGCCATTGCAACCACCCGAAATACCACAACCAGTGCTATCGGCCGCCGATACCGGTCGCAGCGTACTCTACGAAACCATTTTGGAGGGCAAACAAATTGGATGCTTTTTGCTGGGCGGCGAAATGCGCCTATGCTTTCCACAAGTGTTGAACAATGTACTGATGGACTTTGGTTTGGATCAAATCAATCGCATCTTCGATGAATTACGCATTTTCTGCTCACAATGCTCACCCGATCAATTGAATCAATTCAAAGCCGCCAAAATTCTACCCGAAGACGTCAACACATCCGGTTTGATTACGCGCACCAATGCCGAACGCCTGTGCAGTGCATTGTTGCATCGTGGCGATCGGCCGGTTATTGCAAAAAATGCCATTTCATTTCGGGTAATTCATCGATGCTTTGGCAAATGCGAAGGTGTTTGCACACCAGAACTGTACACATACAAAGAACCAGCGTGCATTCGATGCATCGAATGCAATCTCATGTTCTCACCGCAACGTTTCGTATGCCATGTCCATTCAAATCAAGAAAACAGCACATTGCACTGGGGCTTCGACTCAAACAATTGGCGCGCTTATTTACAAGTCACCGAAGACGAAGAGAATCGCGAAAAATACACCGCATTGCTGGACGAGCTGCGAGAACGGGAACAACGCGAACGCGATATGTTGATCGCATTGAATGTTCAACGGGATGTCAGCAATCTCAAACGAAAGGTAAGCACTTTTCTTTTGTCTTCTCTACATCCTACACAACAGAAAGTTTAGACGAAACGGAAAAAAAGACAGAAACAAATTAAATCGATAAATATTTTCCTTTAAGCGATCAAGCTTAGGCATTCATTTGAAACACAAACTCAAACTCTTCGTTGATCCATCGGCAAGATTAAGTGTATGTCTAAGGCTAGTAATTTTCTCAATCAAGAGCAAAATATTTTGTCAAAGCGATAAATCGCCGTTATTCCCACACAAAAAAAAACAACAAATAATAATCAATCAAGTTGCTACTTCAGAAATCTCAATCGATTCGTTGGCAATAACAACGTCTTTACTTGAGACAATTAACGCTCAAATGATACGTTATCTATGCAAAAATGAGCCCAGCTCACGCTGCCTACTTTTGTAACGTAAGCAACGCACATACACACATGACAGAGAATGATAGTAATTATTCGCAATATGTGCCATCATATTGTTTGAGCTGTAAAATGGCTTGAAACATCAAGCGGCAAACGTATTCCCCCGAAGTCAACAACTTTACGCGTATCGCCACTACACGTATGAATGACTTACAGGAAGATAGATGAAGAGAGAGATAGAGTAAGCGACGAGAGAATGTGTGCACCCATTCTTCGATGTCGATCAGAATCAATGATAAAGCAGAAGTATCCATAAATAATAATAACATTAATACTACATTGGAATCAAGCGAAAAAAAAGCTCATGAAAAATACATTGGCAAAGCAAAGCGCGTCTACATTTTTCAGTCGATCTCTCGTGTTTTGGCGGCGCGTCAGGCGACGTGCGAACAAGATTGAACAAACACAGGCCAATAGTGAGAGATATAATATGAGCGTGAGCGCTAGGTGCGCGCGCACACACACACACACTCTCTCTCTCTTTCTCTCTCTCGCACTCGATGTAAGCACATACATACTCACGCATGAGTCTAAACTAATAATAACTAAAACATCTCACTAAATTCAATTTATTTTGTTTTTGTTTACGTATTTTTCTAATGAGAGCTCTAGTGATAAGTTATAGAGCTCAGTGTGGATCAGCATATAATAGTCGTCATTTATTCGGCCATATTTTTTTCAAGTCGATTATTTATTTTGTTTCTTCGTTGTTTCTGTTTCTTCTTCTTCTTTTTTGTTCCTTTGCTGTGTTGTATTTCCGAACACTGTTCGGCGATATCTCAAACGGCAATAAACAAACACTTACACCAGGGCACCTCGATTGCGAAATTGCGCTTTTTGTTTCAATCGTTTGGCGCATTTATATTTATTATGGCTTTCTGCGATTTCTTGCACTTACTTGAAAATTATAAATTTAGAACGATTTTTCGTGCATCGTCGACATCGCCGTCGTCGTCATCATTCTGAGCTACACCGTGTACGAGCTCTTTGTTTCTTTTGCTGTTCATTTCTTCTTTTTCCTTTCGTTTATAAGAACATCTCGATTTCGCACGGTTGAGATGTAAAATATCAAAATCCATCTAATCTAATGACTGTAATAAAATCGGCGAGATCGCGCTTTGTATGCATGTGACGTAATTGTGTGAGGCACAAACACTCACTCGAACAACCAAAAATAACGGTCAAGTGTTTATAAATATCTATTTGCAGTGGACGCGCTACGTTCAGCTATGATGAGTAGAAGGAAAAAAAAAAATTTCTGCGCCGCTTTGAAATCATAATAATCAATTTGATTTGGTGCAAAATAAAAAAAACGATAATTGTTTTGATTGCAGAGTGTCGGTTGCAAAGATGCATACCGAAATCGCATTAATTTTCTCGAGGAGAAACGTCACTTTTTCTCTCGGTGTGTGCTGTGCTGCTAAGTGTTCGCGGTTTTGCATGTCTCTTTTATGACTGTATGATCACATTACTCAGATAAATTGGGTTAGTTTTGATATTTTTCATCGAGCCGCCGATTCAAAGTTTTGTGCGTGTGTGTGTGTGTGCTTGAATGAGAGAAAAAGGCGGCCAACTCGCACAGAAAACTCTATTTGATCACGAAAAAAAGGAAACAAAAAACGAAGAAATATTTCGCATTTGTCGAACGATATCGAGAATGTATGAATTGTTTATGTCTATGCATGTCTCGAGTATGGCAAGAGTTAGAGAGTACTTTACCCGATCCATCAATTGTATGTGTGTACTCGCGAACTAGGACACATTTTGTTTGGATTACAAATCGTTATATTCACATGAACCGAAAACGATTCACCCAAATGATTCGTTGTAATTTCCTTTTTGCCTCATTCCACACACACGCGCTTGACGCGGTTCTTTTTCTCTCTCTCTCTTTTTCCATTCTGTTCTGTTCGTCGCTCATTTCGAATTTTGTTTACGCTTCGGTTTGCACACATCATTTGCGAAATTCCAAACAAGCAATGCGGTTCGCTAGAATGCCGGGACAAACACAAATATTCATCCGGCGGTGTGTTTTTGCTTCCAGAAATTATGCTCAATTTCTTGCCCATGTTGTTGTTGCTGTTGCTATTCCTTCAAAAATATGAATTTTAATTTCTCGTGAAATGTGGTGTGAGTGTGTGTGTGTGTGTGTATGCGCGCCGAAATGGCGAAACAACAACACCGAAACCGGCGCGCCAACCAATTCAGACCGAAAATATCTATAAAATTTCTATAAATAAATAAATATTCGCCGCGCTATTTTACGCACTCGCCATGCCCCGTGTGCGACAACAATTACAAAATCGCGCATTTCTACGACACTATTCTGTCTACACTTTGCAAGTAAATTGTAATTTTGATTGCTCACGACATAATTGAAAAATAACAACAACGAACAAAAATTATATATCGCTTTGCTGCGTTGTGTTTATGCGTTGCTGTTCTGGCTGCGTCTATAAATACAGTGCCTAACAGTTAAAAATGAAGCGAGAGAGTGGAAAAGCTGAACGAAAAATTGTGTTCTTTCGTATTCGTTGTTGCTTCTTTTTCTTTCTTCATTCGCTTGTGTCTTTCTTCAATATCACCTTTTTGTCATCTCTTTGCCTGCAACTGTTCATCATTTTAAAAGTCAAAAATATAATATTTGGTGATTTTAGATGAATCGAGGCAAGGATCTCGAGAGATTTTCGAAAAGACCTGTCTTAATACTTATTTTTCTCTATTCTCTCGCTCTCGCTCTTTTTCGTGCTGTCATATCTCAATAGCCAAACATTTTGACATTCTGTTCGTTTTTTCTTCTCTCTGTTTTGTTCCCACTGAAAATGTGGAAAATGAAAAAAATGCAGAAGGCATGGAAACAAGAACATGATCATTTCGCTTAGATTCTCACTAGATGTTAGATTTGGAATGAAAAGCAGACTTTTTGACGCTAATAAATTTCAGTTACATTACATTAGATTGGCACGGGCTAAATGTAGTTAAACCATTTTTTCTCCTCTCTGTGTTCTTGGTTGGTTGGTTGTTTTTCGTGTTTTGGCTATAAAAACCGGGAGTGTGACTGTGAGAGCATTTAGCGTGAGGCGACGGAATGAGATAGTATGAAGCATCGTAAAATCGCATCTATTTTGGGATTATGCCGGGCAAAAAACTAACGGCCAATTCAAAATATCGCTATTTTTCACATATAATGTCGTTGCTGAGCAGTTATGGCTACCGCCTGAAGCGAAAGTGCCACTCCAAGACAATTTTATTATTTATTTAATATCACTTTCGGCTCTCGATGGAATGTTTTACACGTAAACCGAAACAACAACATGCAATGCAAACAGTATTATATGGTTTTGGCATGCAATTTAATGGAAAATAATCGCTTACATTGGTGTGAATGGTGTTATGCTTCGTCTAAAAGAGCACATGCGATTCAGAATCATTTGAACGGACACAGATTTGGAGAGAGAGAAAGAGAGAAACAGTGGTGATTATTTCGAGCATTCAATGCTTGATTTTCAATCGACCACACAAAACAACCAGATTTGTTACTTCAAATGGCCATTTCTTGTTTTACAAGCATCAGCCAATTATCATTTAAAATAACTGCCGAACTTTTTGTAAAAAAAAATCATAACATTTTGTTACTTTCAATCGTTCGATATGCACGAATCATTATTAACCATTAGAATTTAAATTCAAAGTAAGTACAGTGTGTGTCGAAGGATTTTGGCTGCGAGGCAAACAGTGGAAATTTACTGCGCTCGAGTTCATGGCACTGTTCTCGGTCGTATAAATTATGTTTGTCGTAATTGCATGCGATTGATGGTTTTGTCCCCTTGAACATTGATTTCGACAACACTTTCTCGCTCTTGTTCACGTGCTTTCTCTCCCTCTCGCACATAAAACACCTCCGAAAGGCTCTCGAACTTACAAAATCGCCGAACAACGAATCAAAGACAAAAGAACGACTCATAAAATTGAGACCGAATCAAAAAGTCTGAATCGTTGGAAACTAAAAAATTCATCGTGCCGCCGATTTTTCGTTGGTGAGTTAGTCACACAATCGTCAAAAGAATGCGTCTATTTTGACTGGGTTGATGGAAAAAAATGAGATTTAGTTGAGTGGATTTTCGGTGAATGTTATCGATTCATCATCGTTAGACGGCGGCGGCATCGACGAGCAATCGAGTGTGAGATGAAGGGAGTTTTCGATTAATAGCGAAAATAGTTCGATTCGGCGAGCGAGAAAGAGCCAAAGAGAGAGAGAGAGAGAGAGAGAGAGAGAGTGAGAGAGTGCGCGCGAGAAAAGCGGCAGACAAAGTTATCTTTTCGGGGGGAAAACTACAAAAGCAATAATAATAAATCAAATGGCAAACAAACGACGAGAACGCACCAGTTGACGGCAATCGAAGTGAGAATGAGACACAAAACGTTGGCAACAACAACATTAGCAGCACAACATACACGAATCGAGTGAGAAAAAAACCAACAACACACGATAAAGAACAAAAAAATCTGAAAGAAAATCTTTGTTGTAAGTTTAATGGTTTTCGTCTCATCCGAGTTACATAAAAGAAATATAGACAC